TATCACAATTTAATATTGTTTAAGTACGAAATATTATTTCAAAATTTTACTATATGTTTAAAATTCTTTCGAAAAGGTGCTAACATATGTTTTACTATATGTTTATGAATCCCTGACATTAATTGAGGGTTTTTTACCTGACAGGCAGTTTGTTGGGTAGCCCAGATCGGCAAGTTGAAACGTAGCAGACATCTGCAACGAGTTTTCGAATAATCGAGTGCACCCCAAAGGCACAAAATGGAAGACGATAACAGTCAAGGAGAAATTGAACTTTTGGCCCATGCCTATGGAAGGATGGAGATGAAAGAAGAGGATGAAGTTTTACTGGTGGAAGCCACGAACTCGGGCACAACGGGTGCAAATCTTTCACTGATCGGAACCATAACCTCGAAAAAATCGGGAGGGAATCGAACGATGGCTTTGAACTATAGTGTGTTTACTCTGTGTTTACCTTTATCATTCACAACAGTTTTATTTCTTTCCTTTCAATTTTATCAAGTACTCTGTGTTTACCTTTATCGTTGACAATGGTGGTAGGGTTGTTTTTTGGTGTATTTTACCGTATAGTTTTCTGTTGGGAGGTAATCAGGCCGTTTTGGCTGTTAGTAGCATCGAAGCTCTCACATGTTCAGCGATTAATTTCGCTCTTTTTGGGGTGGGCAATTATATGTCCGGTCAGGGAGTGAGGGGGCTAGTGTGGAGGACTTTTAGAAGTTTAGAGAGGGAATATGGATTTTTTATGATGTTGGATGGATGGTTTTTTCAATATTAACATAAGTTTTCTTTTGCCAAAAAAAGATTACATTAAGTTATTTACATTTTTACTTCCGTGTATTTATATTTAGTTTTCTAATATGTATGTTTACAATAGATTTCTTACATTAAATATTTTTGTTAATCTTTATATATAAAGAGAGTATACCATGGAAAATCAAATAAAAATCTATTTGGAGCCAAAAGAAGTGAAAATTGTTGTCTTAATTAGAGAAGGATTATTAATTACTTAATAATTAATAACAATCAATGATGAAGTATACATATAATTAATAGTTGTAAGTCACAAACAAAATATTAGAAATTTGAGGATAAAGAAAATGAATATAATATAAATAAAATTATTTACTGAAAGACATAAATAAAATTATTAGAAGACCTCAGCGACACGTAAGAGCAGACCTTAGGGGAAACCCTAGGTGGCCAAATCCGACCTCCTCCAAGATCTGATCGTCCCTTTACTTTTAGTTTTCAAAGTGTATTTATAGTGTTATATGGACTATACAATATAACATAATGCTTAATAGGTATTTTACAAGGAGAAATACCTAGAGTTGTATATCATGTTGGAATATTTTAGTTAAGTATAGTTTTTCTTCATAAACATCAATTATAATGTTATTTTTTTTGCTTGATTTGAACAAATATACAATACAAGAAGTCAACGATTTCAAAGTTTAGAATACTTATTCACTTATTCTATAAAATAGAATACTTTTTTTGTTAAGTTTAATTTATCTTTAATTGATAAAAAGTATTGAATTTTGTAAAATGTCAAGCAATAATATAAATACTTCAGATATTGGTTAAATAAATTCAAGTAATATGAATTAAATTGAAACTATAAATGCTTGTGCGACATTAAAACTTGACTCACTTAAGTTCTGACTGCTAAAAAAGAATTTGTTTCAAAAAATTAAATTTTAAAATATTCTAGCATTATTACAAATACAATATGCACAAATTAGACGAATTAACAACATAGTATTATTCTTTTTTTTTTTTTGAAAAACATAGTATTATTCTAAAAATTGATATAATCTCATACATATTATTGTAAAATTAAAAAGATCCATTGTGACTTACAAGCACTCATGTAATCGTGTTAAACAAAAATGTGTAATTGAGGAGTTTGATTCTTTATTCTAATAAGAGTAAGCACTTAAGCAAGGCAAAATTTATTTTAAAAAAAAAAAATCATAGATGGATTTGCACCTAACAATATCTTTATCTCCAAACGAATTGACAAACTTTAACCATTTCTTTATAATCAAATAAATTTTCTTATAATTTGGTATTGCTTAGGCTTTAATTTAGCACTAACTTTTTAGAACAATTCTATTATAAAATTCTAAGTTAATTTTCTCATTGTTCATGTAAATCTTGAATGTGGTACTTTTAAATGGCGTGCATGCGCTAGTGAATTTTTTTTTTAAATAATCTAGACAAAGTCTTATATCGATGAAAAAAATGCACCCCCCAACCATAATTCTTGGATTCGTCGTGTAACACAAGTATGTTCACGATCTCTTACGACTCTTTCATCGTCACACAGTTAAGTCAGTTCGTATCTCTCTTCCTTCTCGAATCACTCTATCTTCTAGACTTCTACTGATGGAAAACTCATTGTTGATGCTACTGAATATCGACAAGGGGCGTAGCCAGGACACTGGGCTAGACAGGGCCGGTACAAAGAATATTATTGGAAAAAAAATTACACAAAATTTTTTACTCTAAAAATATTGACATTTTTCAAATTTGGGGTGGGCCAGGGCCTAGCCTAGGCACCCCTAGCTCCGCCCCTGAATATCGTAGTATGATAAGAGTGTTGCAATACTTGACTTTGACTCGGCCTGATATTACTTACATTGTTTATTTGGTTTTCCAGGTTTATGCATGTTTCTCATATTTCACACTTGTGGCTGTTAAGCGTATTAAAAGGTTACCTACATGGCTCAAGTATTTAAGGGTTTCTTAGCGTTCCAAAAAACGGCCTATGATGTCTAAGGGAGTGTTTGCAACTGCTTCTGCTTAAAAAAAAGCACTTTTGGAGATGTAAGGAAAAAGTGATTAGTAGGAAAAGTTGATAGTGTTTGAGAAAAAAGTGATTTTGAAAAGTAAAAGTTGATAGTGTTTGGTAAAATAAGTGCTTTTTGTGTAATAGAAAGGGGAAAAACACTTTTCACACGCAAGCCGAGAAAAAATAAAAATTGGTAGTGTTTGGTAAATAAGTGCTTTTTTAAGCCAAAAGCTGAGAAGTGCTTTTTTTTAAGTGATTGCAAACACTCCCTAAGTCCTCTACAAAGCTCAATATCCCACAATAGCCTACACCATTCATTTTGATTAGGTACACATAAAAACATCATACGCACTGCACAAAAAGTCCTTTTATATATATATATATATATATATATATATATATATATATATATATATATATATATATATATATCGCAATTTCTAAAAGAAAAACATACTACGTAGTACATTTCGATCATGCACGTAAAGAGATGTCGAAATATTATAAAAATTCTAAAAATTCTTGCTTTATCAAAGAGATAATCATTCTTAGAGCATATTATGTTGTCCATGACTAATCGTAACACTGAAAATTTTGAATCGATTTAAATGCAACAAATGCTGAAAATTTGTACTACTTTAGGGGCATTAATGCATTTTCTTCAGGGGAAGAACCGGACCGGACCAGGCCGTTCCATCCAAATCACAATCTGGTCTTGTAGCATACCAACCCGCAAGTGTGTCATTAATCGGAAATACCCAGTGACCTGGGCATACCTGGACCGGAATTGGGACGATCCAAACTCGCACATTAGAGAAAACCACGAATTTGTGGAATCTACGATGAGTCTCAGACTCGTCCTTGAGGTCTCTCTAACTGCTTCTATACCTTTTCTAAATAAACTCTTTGAGTTAGAGAGTGATGTTACTTGTTAGTTCCTGGCCTCCTGCTCCACAACTAATAATCATAACAAAAAAAGATAGATAACAAATATGAATTCTATTATTATAATTTATAAGTAGAAATATTAATATAATACTACGTATTTGAATACTTTTTAAAATTTATTATATTCATATTTATCGTCTATCTAAAATTTTGTTAAAAATTGTATATTTAGAATAATAATTCTACTTTCTATGTTACCATGCACTATGAATATTAAATTATGATTGAAAATAATTTCCCTTTACAAGTTTAATTTGATATATCTTTAGTAAAAGTTTAATTTGATATATAATTTACAATTTCATTTTAAGTCAATATTGACCGGGTTGACCTGTCGGGCCCGACTAACCTTGACGGCTTGACCTAGTCATTTGGCCTGGTCACCTCCCATTCCGGTTTTTTACAAGATAGCGCCATACATGACACCAATTTTTGAAATTAAGATTATAAATGTCAACTCTTATATTATGTATAACCAGGATATGGTTTTCTGGTTTCAGTACTGGTCCTTGGACCACACTATGGTCATAGTGGGGTGCAGGGGCGGAGCCAGAAAAATGACTCAGCGGGGTCGAAATCAAATTTACATAGAATAAAAAAGGTAGATATTTTTAGACAATACCTGAATTGAATGTAACTTAGATAAATGATAGTTTAAATGAAACTAATAGAGTATATGTAGTTAATATACTTCGTATATGTCACATACTCCGTATATTATAAACTTGTTTTGTACGGGTTGAGTTGAGTACCTCGGATTAGACTCATTCTCTTACCCTAGTACACTATGGTTCTCTTTGATCTTACTCGGTTTAGTATCAAAATTTCTTACTAGAAAAGAATCATTTATTGAGTAGGCACTCGTAGCAGTAAGATATGTTGTCTTTGCTCTGTCCTTAAGTCATGTCACGTAAGTAACAAGTGAATTACACGCTACTTTGTGAATATAATTAATATTACGCATCACAATTTTACTAATTTCAAAATTAAATAGTGCTGATTTTGCAGAAGTCATAACTTTTTACTCGTAATGAGTTACGAGAGCCATAATATATCAAATCGAAGATATTTTAGAGCTCTACACTCTTAAATTTTCAGCGGGGTCGGCTGACCACCCTGACCCCCCAGTAGCTCCGCCCCTGGTGGGGTGTCCTAGTTTGGACCGTGCCCAGGCCGCTTAACTCAAGGGTCACCTCATTGGGACGGGAGGCCTCCTTGTTCAAACAAAACACACATCCAAACAAAACACATCATGTGAGCATTGCCTGAAATAGGAAGGCTATCATGGCTCTATAACATCCCCCTGCCTAAGAAACTGAACTACTAAAGACACATTGATCCGGAAAGCTCAAAAGATGCAATGTTATAGAATAGACACTATCACACTAATACCAATATGCAATATCAACCACAATCAGAATTAGGGAATAAGCACAATAAAGCACAATCTCCAATACATACACCCAATGCATGCAGAAAAAGGTTAACACTACAAAAGGAAAACAATCAGTCGGATCACACAAATCTGTTAAATGGTTTCCTACCAACTGAAGCTGGCATGGAAACAGCAGAATCCACACTCAACCTATCCGCACTTCCACTAAAGTCCTTCAGAGATGAAGCGCCGCCTTTGCTGGAACCTCTGCTCCACTTGAATGACCCCACATTTGAAGTCAAAGGATAGGATAACCTCCTGGCTGAGTGACTGGATGGGCTTCCTATGCTTCCCTCCCTTGGACTGGCTTTGGCTTTGGCTTTGGCTGAAATGGTAGGTGACATGTAATTTGGAACCGAATATGGAGGACAGCTTGTTAGGCTGTCATCGTCCTTCGAAGGGAACTTATAAGGTGAACCGGCAAAGCTGGTTCCAGACTGGGCATACTTTTTTCTTAGGCTTGAAGAAGGAGGTGTTCTACCAGGAGTATGAAATGGTTTTGGTCTTGCTGGAACTGACGACTTTGTTGATGTTGGGGTATCTGCTTCAAAATGTCCACCATACTCGGTGTAATTTCTTAGTAGAGGGCTTGGTGTGCACTCTGAAATTGCCCTTGCTGGTGATGGATGGGATTTTTTAACAGCAGACTGGCTTACGGAATGATTTACAGAAGGTAGTGCATGCTCTAACCACTTCCACCACAAGGGGAAACCATTTGATTGGATGTTCATTTTGTATTTAGGATTGGCTTTCCAAAGCTGCATTTAGATTATAAGAATATAAAAAAAAAAACTAAAGGAAAATAAACTGAAGTTGAAAAAACAGTTGCATATGGAGACCGGAGTAATGTTATATTCCATCCATCTCTAATGGTTTGCTTATTTATTTTTCACGTGCCCAACAACAATTCTTTTTTTCTCTGATTTTGTGTTTCATATTCGAATTCAGTTTTTTTCCATCATTTGCAATGGAGCCAAAGACTCACTATTTTTTTGGCTTGGGAGTATGATGAAATAAAGCAAAATGGCTCACTAAACTGTATGAGCTTCTTTGTTATGAAGAAGCAGTCAGTTGATGCAATTTTCGACGCGGTTTTCACTATGGGTCATCCGGAAACAGTCTTTGTGCTTTAGTACAGGGGTAAGGCTGCGTACATCTGACCCCCCTTACCCCACCGTAGGTGGGGGGGCCTTTGCGTCACTAGGGTAATGATGATGATGATGATTCGAATTCAGTTCAATAAAACTTGTAGAATAATTTCCAAGTATGCTTTAACTATTAATAATAATTTAAATATCATTGAGCACTTTTTCCATGTGTTGCTTGGCATACTTGTTTACAGTGGCGGATTGACGATTTGGGTTTTGGGTGTTCAATTTTTTTCTACCATTAAAACTTTAAACAACAATGATTAATTACCCTAAATTTCCACATATAAACTCAAAGACTTTTCAAAAATATAAGTGTTCAAGAGAACACTTTTGATACATAGTGGCTCCGCCACTGCGTGTTTACTTACATCTATGCTTATTTGCGTGATAGTTTGCTTGTTTACTTGATTGTGTATTTCACTTGCTTTCTACACGGCCGTTCAGTAGTTGCCTTTCTTATACTAGGTTTGTTTGGTTTATATACTAACTATATTCCTAATCATAGATCATGCATATACGTAAAAATTCCCTGCTAATTTACCTTATGAGAATATGCATAAGCCATGGCTCTCTCTCTCTTCATGGTTGCCTCTAGTTTTTTTTGTCGTCTTTCATCAACTTCATCTTTGGTCAGCCTGCTACCATCCCAATTCTCATTGTTACCTGCCTCAGACTTAATCAAATAAATGGAATTAACATTAGACAGCATCAAATTTATCTTTTTAAATAACCGTAATTTTTACATAGAAGGTAAGAAACTATTTTTGATGGGATAAGTGCACTAGAGATCAACAACTTTTAGTTTGTACTTTGTAGTATAATTTGGTTCAACAAGACTTACAAATCAAATGCATAAAAACTTACCGGCAGGGACCATTTGCTCAAGGTGCTCTCCCCATCCTTCTTATAATTCTTGGAAGTCTGCCACTGGGCTGCTTGGTTTTCTGACATTTCGATCCTACGTAATCGAATTTGATTTTGTATCCTAACAAAAAGATGCATCTGTTTCATGGCATTAACGGTTTGCTTTTTGACATTATCACCTCTAATAAATCCTTGAAGCCTCAGTAAACCCCTCAAAGATCTGAAATTCTTCCTCGCCTGTTATGTCAGAACTAGTGTAAACCAGTTGCATACATCTACGTAATGATATTTCTTTTCGTGCTCTGTATGATATATTTGTGTCCCATAAAATTCTAGGGAAAGGAAAGAAAATGTAAACTAAAGTCATAAATTTATGTTTGGCTGTATGCCTGTATGTCACAAAATGCAAAGGAAAATGAGATATAATTAATGTTTGTAAGCTTTCCCATAGATTTAGATTTCGTTGTGTTTATATAAAAGAAGTAAATTTCAAAGTTCAATTGAATAAAAAAATTATAAATGTATTGAGTTTGAACCAGTGTTTTATTTTCCTTAATTTTTCATACAATTTCATTCTTATTTTCTTTCCTTAAAATTTATCAAGTTCCAAACTTCTCTATAAATATCCTCCACCAGAATGTAGAGAACACATTTACAATAAGCATGAAGATGCATAATATGACCTGTAATATCTGGATAAGCATTTAATGCCAAATTGCCTAGAAACTAAATCAAAGCAAAAGTTAACTATATAACTTTCAGCATGAAACACCAATTGTAGCATACCCCATACATTAGTTTACTAGATGCTTACCATATATAGTTACTAAGCATTAAGTTACATGATATGCACAACAATTTTTGGATGAACATTGTAATGCATAATAGCTTGAGGACGAACTTAAAACATTGTATGATTAAATAAGATGAAGAGTTTGTGTAACATCACCTAAAATGAAATAACAAATCAACATTCAACACAAATGATAGTGTATGGCCCCATATATTAGTTTACTTAGAAGCTTACCATGTAACCTTTAAAGATTGACTGGATCCTAATAGCTGAGAGTTGAAGCACTTGAAAAGTTGGTTCTGCTCTATAAACATTATTGGTTTCTTTACGGTTCTGGTTCACCTTAGAAGAAGCAACTCTGGGAGAAGCCGCCTTAGGAGAGGCAGGCTTTGGAAGGGGAACATGAGAAGAGGCAGCTTTTTGGGAGCTAACTATTGGAGGGTCAGGCTTTGGGGATGCAACCCTTGGAGAAACTTCTCTAGGAGGGGAATGCTTAGGTGAAACATCTCTGAACGGAGTAGTCCGGGGGGGAGTACTCCTAGGAGACGTTGGCCTCTCAGAAACAATTTTTTGTTGTTCAGAATATAGAGGAACAAGTTGCCTCTGCTCATCTATCTCTCCCAATATCTTCTCAATACTACTTGGTTCTCTGAAAATAAATGACTTGAACTCGCCACGCTTCAGTAATCTTCTACGTCCCTTCTTCTTTTCTAGAGATATTGTCCTATCTGGCCCCTGCATTACATTCAGTGCAACTTAGGTGACTAGGTGAGAGTTGCAATTTTATTGAAAAACAAAAGTATCTAGGTGTTCTTTAGAAAAACTGTGAACATTTCTAATGGTATGGACCAAAAATGTTAAAGTAAGTTACATTAACTTCTTAGCTCTTTTTTACTTTCAGTTTTTAACTATTGTGGCAACAACATGTTTGGCCTCTGCCCTTGAGAACTTTTTCACTTTTGGCCCCTTGACTATTATGACCACACAGTTTTGGTATCCATCTCTAAAGTTTTCCCCTTTTAGTTCTCAAGCTATTTGAGATTTTGAGACTGACCTTTTTTGTGTTCCGACTATTGTGACAACAGCACTTTTGATACTCGCATTTGAATATTTCCACAATAATCCAAGGACCAAAAGTGTTACTATCGCCATAATCAAACGGCCATAAGGGAAAATTTCAAAGACAAGTAATAAAAGTTCTATTTCGCAATAAATTCAGAACTAAGTGAAAAATATAAAGACATGTACCAAAAGTGTCATTGTCATAATAGTCAGAAGGCTAAAAGTGGGAAAATTCACAAATTAACATCTCCTAGAGACCTCATTATTGTATAATATTGTAAATGTTCAACAAGGAAGCTAGGGAAAGGAATGGAACTATCAACTTACACCGATGCGCTTATCTTTGGAAGAAGAATGTGGAGTAAAAAATACTCTTCTGATGGCAGAAAACCAACTCCCTTTCTTTCCCATTTTCAAACCACTACTTCTTCACCCTACAAGAGCCACTATAATAAGAAATTATTACATATTTATCACTAAAATAAGAACTGTTTCAAAAATTGTGACTTCTTAGTTGTAGTGACTATAGCAGTAAACCAGTAATTTTAGTCATAGTAACTTATTTTCAATTTTTACACTTAAGTGACCATGACACTATACTCATGGTAATTTTGGTCATATGTTTTTATAAATATGTTTTATTTCAGAGGAATTTTCGACAAAAACTCAATAAGAAATAGACTCAATAAAAAAATTAATAAACAACTTTTTAGCACCTGCAGTTCTGAATTGGTAAAACGATCAATACTTACATGAGAAAATCTATGAGATCTATAACTTACTACATAGTAGCTATTACCATAACATACTAAAGCTATGAAGATCCAGGAAAATGCTAGGGAAAGAAAATGAAAGAAAAGTCAGTTTCATATGTTTGATTTTACCTCAAGAAATGAAAAGGAAAATGAGATGTTACTAATTTCATAAAATGAATTCAAACAAACATTAACAATAAATTTATTTTGTTTGAACAAATTGTTTCTTTTCTCAGTAATTTCCACCCTTGTAATTTTTCCCCAGCATTTTTTTGAACAGACCCTGATAAAACGGACCCTGATAGATGGGAAAAGTCTTTGCTTTCCTCTCCAAGACTTATAAGTTGACTAATATACACAGCAAGAAAATACGAAGAAGAAACGCAGAAAGAAAAGGTGCATTTTCCAGAAAAGTACAAACCCAAATTCTCACAGAAACAATGAGGGAGAGGAAATTAAAGGCCAAGACAACAAGATATCAGCAACCAGACATAATATACCTGAAAGTTCAAACAAAAAACTCGATTTTTCCAGCAAAGATCAAATAAAACTGGGAATAGGACCTTTTTACTGGAAATTTAAGATGAATAACAGGATCAATTCCAACAATATAATCTACAACACAATATTTAGCTCAGAGAGAAACAGCAAATCTTCTGTACCGCTAGAGCTTGCTCCATCTTCCATGGGAACCTTTCAGAAAATCTGGAACCAACCCAAAGGATCAACCTTACCCAGCTCTCTCTGACTCTCTCTCTCTAGAATTCCTGTTTTTCTGTCTCTTTCTAGCTCACTGCTGCTTTACAAGCATACAACATTATAGGTTTATAACGTTAAGTTGGCAGCTTCACAGTTCACGACCTTTAGAAATCAAGACTCCTCTTTTTTCTTTTTCTTCTTAATAAGGAGTAATTTATGTCTGGCTAACTGCCTCTTTTCTCCATTAGCTAGCTAATAGAGTAGTAATAGCTAATAAGACCTTTACACTTACCATTTTGTTGACTTTTATGAGTTTTTGTAATTATTATATTTTCTAATTTGGAAATTTTTCGTCATTGGATCTGGGTGTTTATTACAACATCAAATAGTGCATACGAAGTATATTCGATTTATTTTCTTAACTTTGTCGTTTTTATTTTATATATATACTACTTCATACCTATTTGTTTTTTCTTGGATTTATTATAATCTCAGATGATACCAGACTTTAACAGACCAAATCAAACCGTGTCGGATCAGACTCCAAAGTTGTAAAATATAAAGACCAAACATCTATCATACCAGTTTATACCACACCAGATTTAAACAGGCCAAATCAACAGACTAGATCAGAAAATTTCAGTCCAATCTATGAAATTACTGAAGTTATAAGTGAAACAATTGAATCGGTTGAAAATGTTCAAATATCTTAAAACTGTGTTTAAATGGTCACTTTCAGCTAATTCACCGGGAAAGTAAAAACTGACTTACTTAACAGCATCTTCAATGTAACAATGTGCACGCTACATACATGACTTGAGAGATATAGAAGCTTGCATAAAATTAAACTATCCAAGTTTCTTTCTTTCTTTTTATTGCTTTCTATATTTTTAGTTACTCTATATCAACAATGTCAAATATAATGTCTATTCAACTTGCAACATTGTGATTTTTGGACAATATTATTTCTTTAATTCTTGCAACATTGTGATTTTTGCACTATTCACAGACCTTACTTTGACCACGATTTTCTACTAATATACATAATCAATTTATTACGTATAAAATGTTATTGAATCTGTGAATTTCCAAAACAGCAACTTTTTATAATGTTTACTAATACATAATTAAATATAATTACAATCAAAATTGTGTATTAACAAATGTGAAAGTCAAACTGTTACAAAAATTAAAGAAGATGTGATAGTATTACATTACTCTTTTAACAACCACAAAAATAGATGTTATTATTAAAAAAGTTTAAACATAACGATCATGGTTGTGAGTTGTGACTTATGGTTATCGTTTCCCTTTCCTTTTTCGGATGTGAAATGATTATTGATTATGACATTCATGTGTCGTGTGGGAGGGTGGTCAAAATTTGATGGAATCAAGCTAGCACTAATGCTAAAGCTACCCCATTTTGTACCCCATTTTGTACCCCCTCCTATATTTGTGGTTCACAAAAGCAATGAGTTAAAATGGAGCAATTATTTTAATTGGGTTGAATTTTTGTGAGCCACAAACATAGGATGGGGTACAAAATAGGGTAGAAAATGGGGTACCTCTAGCATTTCTCGCTAGCTAAACTGAGGTTGAAAATAAGGCTTGTTGCTTTTGTGGCGGAAAATTGTGATAATGTAATTATTATCTGAATTCTCTAAGTAGTGTTTTGGAAATATATAAATTTTTGTAAGCTATACAACTTCTAAATATATATCAATACTCAAAAAAGAAAATCATGTTATCGAGTCAAGCACCTTGTGATTTGATGGCATCACTGTTGATCTCTCAAAGAGGAGATCGCAGGTTCGAGTCTCATCTCAATCAAGGATATTAGCATTAACAACAACAAATACTATAATAAGTTTAGAAGAATGTTCCAAAAAATCATGTGTCGACATCCCTAGTTAAAATTAAGCTTATAAATCTAAGTGTCATCCCAAAGTTTAATACGTAGTACTCCGTACTATTATTGAATGCTCCGTATATAAATTACGAGTAATTCTTTAATCATTGAACCCCAGAATGAACATATTAAAAATCATAAAAAATAGTTAATTAATATATATTTGGTGAGAAAAAAGACAGGATTAAGTAAATATGGAGTATTTAATATTAAAAAAAGGTAACACATATGCCAAATACGGAGTACTCCCTCTGTCCCATAAAATTGTTCATGCATTGACTTGGATCGGAGTTTATGAAAGTGAGAATAAAGTAGAAATGTATGGTTGTGGCTGTGTAAAAAAAAGTAAATGAATGTGAGTCATACAAAACTTTCCAAAAGAGGAAATGTGAACTACTCCGTACTTTTTTGGGACGGTCCAAAAAGAAATCTGGAAACTATTTTGCGGGAGGGGGAGTATATAACTTGTTTGGTTTTAAAAACACTCACTATCTAAATAAAAAGGCATTTAAGGAGTGTTTAAATGTTTAATGCCCGTTTGGCGACCCTAAAAGACAATATAATATTAATATTTGGTTTTATGTAAAACAAATATATTAGGTTTTTTACATTATTTTGGTGCTCATATGTTAGAATGAATAAAAATTTGTTTCAAATTTTTAAGAAAAGTTGGTATTAGTTACACTTAATAAATTCAACCAACCATTTTTTAATCATTAAATAGTTAATGTTACACTAAGTGTAATTGTTAATTTTAATAGTATTTTGAAGTTGTGTTACTTTGTAAAATGAGGGTCTACCCATCCCATTTGTCAAAAAGTCCGGCCCGGCCTAAAAGGGTCATGGCCCGTCCCGGCCCATTATCTGAAAGGATAGCATGGGGTAAAATATTTGAAACCCGGCCGGTCAAGACTCATCCCGACTCAGCCTATTAAACCCAACTTAGTCTAACCCGGAAATATCTTTTATACATTATTAATTAATTTTGTACACTAATTTCATAATTAACACTAAAACATATAAAAGCAGTGACTAATAGTAGAAGAAAATGAAATTCGGAATGATGGTTAGGTGATAAAATTATGTGATAGAATTTGAGAAGTTTAGATGTGATATTTGTAGATCTCTTTTCTAAGAGTGCACCACTACAAACTTAGACATAGATAATTTGAACCATATTATTACATTTTGTAGAGTAATAAATTAGTATCCCTCATTTCATCGATCATTGCTTTTTGTAGTACATAAAAGAATTTTTGTATTTTCTTTTAAACTCATAGAGATCCAGCCCTATTGTGGGTCAGCCCAAACCAACCCCTTAACCCAAACTACACAGATAGGTTAGAGTTACAATTTCATTACAAAACGCCCGACCTAACCCAACCCATTGATTAATTTATGTACATTGAGCTCATCTCAGCCCAACTTGGCTCCATTAGATTTGAGTCATTTGACACGGTATTGATCTAACCCAGTCCGTTGATAATATCAGGTTTATAGGATATCATCATACTCAATTACTCATTGTCAACACATCATTCCAATTTCCAACTATGTAACTCGGTTAGTGGAATTTTCAAGGAATACACACCTCTTAGTTTATTCGCGTATAATTCATATATAATACAGTCAAACGTATAATTCGCGTATAATACTCCCGTTCAGGGCCGGTCCTGAGAAAATGGAGGCCCTGTGCAATAACAAAATTTGGGCCTTCCTTTATGAAATAAATATTGATCGGCAGACAGATGTTCTTAAAACATAGCTGCAACAATTATAACTTTATTAAATATAAATAGCCCAATTAACTCATCAACTAATTACATTTAATTCTAAATAACAACCAAATTTGTTAAATTTCATTATTTCATCAATTCATCATACATTATTACATTAGTAGAGTATAGTAGTAGTACGTACTACTACTAAAAAATTTATTTTGGGCCCTCCAATTTTTTGGGCCCTGTGCGGTCGCACACCCTAAACTCCCTCTGGGCCGGCCCTGCTCCCGTTTATGAATATTTCAGAAAATACTGAAAAATTCACGTACTTTAAAGATAAAATGTATAATACACGCACCGTACGTATTGTTACGTATTTTATTAAAGAAACACCATTAAACTGAAGCCTAATGGAGTGGTACAACTGAAACAAAATGTCTAGTTGCTCAATACTATTTATATTGCTTAAAAAATTATTATGTCTTACATGTTCATTAGTTGTTTAATAGTCATAAGATTTAATAAATTAGCTTCTTAATTAAGTCATAACTTGTTTCGATATTACTATTGGACTACTATTGTGTTACTCTTGTTATCTACTCATACAAAGACTCCAAAGAGAAAAGATTATTACGGCGGCTCACCAAATTTACGGCCACAGTAATTAAACAATTCTCTAGAAATATCTCTCTATTTCTACATAAATAGGAAATATCATTTTTATTACTTATTGTACCTATGAATTAAAATTTTATATCTGAAAAAACTATTTCGTACATTTTAAATTGTTGAATAATGTGGTGCATATGCTAAATTACTCTTTACTCTCATCATTATATTAGTCTATAAGACATGTATTATATGCCGTATTTTTAAATTATGAAACGTTTAAAACACGTTCGTATCTTTATGCATTTCACGAACGTATGAAACATATATTTAGCCGTATTTTATATAGTTGTATTGTATTATACACGAACGTACGTATTATTGTATTATTCACGAACCGTATATTACTAACAAAGATACACACTCCCATTAATCTTCGATTGTAAAACGTTAAAGAACAAAATCATCCTCCTTATACAATTTTATGTAAATTCAAACAATCAAATAGATGAAAAGATATACTGGACTAAGTACAAGAGATGAAGAAATATTAAAAAATAAGAATATATTCATGGCAATTGTATATGCATCTATGTGTATTTCAAAATGATTATGTCCTTTAGAAAAATGGTTCAGTGTACACAAAGTGTACACTATATAAAAGCCTAAAACAAATCTCATTTCCCCTCCACCTCATTCTCTCTCCCCTCCTCTCCCTTATCTCTTTCCTCTTTACCCACCCCTCGAAAATTCTAAAAAAAAATATGGGATGATCTGCTCTTCTTCATCTTCCTCTTTTTCTCTATCTTGTTATATCAATTTTTTTCCATTATTTGCCCAAAATCTGTTTATTTATCTTATTTCATCTATTTTTTTCTAATTTTTTCCAAATTATATGTAAATGGATCACACATACAACTACATCATTCATTTGGATGTATATAGACGATTAATTTTTTTGTTCACTCAGAAAACTAAAATTGATCACACCAACAACTAAAATTGAACACACAGACAAGTATTGTCTGTGAACCGCATGACTATTGTCTGTTTGGTAAATATTGTCTTTGCACACAGACAAATAATT